ACTTATAAAAATAATTAAAAATATATATAATAAGAAATAATAGAAAAGAAAAATCCAAACATTACACTACAAATTTTCGTACCAATCTATTAATTTTCGATTACAAACTGTCATTATATAATAAACTATCATCGAAACCTGCCAAAAACATGTGAAAGAACTTTTCGAACTGAATCCGCATATGATCCGATGATTTTTTTTTTTTTATATGATACGTACAGCCATCCAAAAGTAACTGCATAATACATATGTACGTACGTACGTACGTACATAAGTGCGTACAGATGAAATCGTGTGACTGTATTGATTGTTTTAAGTAGGTTTCTGGTAATATAATGATATATAATAATTATTACACATAATTAGTACATGCAGAATTCTCGTAATGATGATCAAAGTATCACATGCTTTCCCAAAACATCACTGAGTGATGATGTACCGGAGTTTCGAACAAATATGTCCGAAATACATATATATAGGTTATTTTTTTTTTTTTATTAACGTTAACGTTAAACCAATTTAAATTTGTAAATACATAACTCAATACACTCTTTTTTTTTTTTACTGATATAATCATGTCTTTAAAAGATATCCGAATTGTTGTTGGAGTAGGTGAATATATCGATCATATTTATTTCACTTTTACTTATACATTTAAATTAGTTTAATATTAAAAGATTTTTTTCATTTAGATTTTGGAACCACATTCTCAGTAAGATATTTTTTTTTCGTTCTCATAATTTAAACCAAACTCATCAATTTTTTTTTTTTTTAATCATTTATTCATAATTTTCAAATAGGGTTTTGCCTACGCTCACAAAATAAATTCCGAAATAACAACCAATAACATTTGGCCAGACCATGTAGGTCAATTCAAAACCAACACAGCATTATTATATAACAATGAATTAAGTGAAGTCAAAGCTTGGGGTCTTTCAGGTGAAATTTTTATTTGAAAAATTTTAATCGTTTAAAAGTTTCGACCTCGTCGATGATTCTAGTAGTCATATTTATTTTTTGATTAAAAAAATTCTTAATAAATTCCGCAGCATTGGCTGAAAAACCACGTAAAAAGCGTCCTCAAAATTTTGATAAATCGATACATGTTGAATTATTTAAATTACATCTGGGAGATATGTCAGACAATGAAAAACCACCATTACCTAATAATATGAATTATAAACAAGCAATAACCGATTATCTCTGGGAATTAGGTACAAACCACTTTTAAATTATTATTATATATATTTTTTTATTTAAAAAAAAAGTGTTTTGACAATGTTTTCTCATAAATCCTTACCACCTTAAAAATGAAGGCATAGTATATATCTTTTTTCATTTATATTTAACATGTTATGGTCCGGGACGTCTTGATGATTATTTCAATTTTTAAAACCTTTAAATCATCGTATTTCTACTGGTAATTTTATATAATGGGCAAACCTAAAATTTTGAAAATTTTGCCTCTATATTTAACGAATGGTTAAGACTTCCTGCATCATATATAATTTAAAATTTGCTTGACATAACGTATCTTTGTGTTTAGGTAGTGAAAGATACCATAGATAAACGATGGCCAGGTGTTAATTTCTTTAGAAATGTTCTACTGGTATTTGCGGTTCCTGCTGAATTTTCTGAAAAAGCAAAAGCAATAATGAGAAGCTGTAAGAACTAATTTATATTGAATACCGTACAAAAAATCATTATTATTTTTTTTTATTAGAGGTTCTAATAATTATTATTATTATGATTATGTAGGCATATATAATGCTGAATTAATAGAGACACTTGATTCTCAAAATTTGCAATTTACTACAGAACGTACGTATATTTTTATTTTAATTCATATAATAGATAAAATAAGAATAGTTAATATGTTGTATTTGAAATGAAATCTGAGCGAGAATAATTTTTAACCAAAAGGTA